TTTATAGCACACTGACTCTTTTTTTGGCGCGTCGCGTTGGTTACATTTATAGGCGTGTGGAGGCTTTCTCGAAATTTCAGTTTTATGTAACAGTACTGACGCTACATTTAAGCGTTTACTTACTTACTTAATTACTTACTTACTTACTTACTTACATACATATATTGTTGATTCCTACTCTCGAAAATCTTCTACAACTTTGGAGAATAGGCGGGAGTTTCGCAATACATATTTCGCACTATAAGTTATGCATGTTTTTAAATATAAATTTATTCTAAACAGACGTCGATATTAAAATAAATATACAATAAATTCGTTACAACACGTTCAGACGTTTCTGTATAATCAACTAAGTTTGCCTTCATTGAAACTTTACATTTACTTTAGTTTGCAATACTTTAGCTTCGTTTTGTTTCATAGACTGCTATAAACACCTTTTAGCTACTTTTTTCTCTAGCACGGGTTCTATTTTTCGTTTTTGTGATTTTCTTTGTTTTATCTCGTAACACTGTGTCATATACTAAACGATCATAACTGTTTCATACTCTTACTGCTTGGAGACGGCTTGAATGGGTAATGAAAAAACTTTAATATAAGTTTAACATAACAGCAAATATATAACGTTTCGACAAGGTTTTGTCATCATCAAAGTGGGTTCCTCGTCATCGAATTTGTTTCAGGTACCTGATGATGACAAAACCTTGTCGAAACGTTGTACATTTGCTTTATGTTAAACTTATATTAAAGTTTTTCTTCATTACCCATTCAAGCCGTCTCCAAGCATTATTAGTCTCAAAGTGGGTTCCTCGTCATCGAATTTGTTTCATACTCTGTACACTATTATAAATACCGTTACTTGCTTTACATGTGGTTTTATTGAATAAGTTACGTCTACGTGAGTTTGTTTGTCTGAACGCTTACATTTGTTTCAAATAGACTGGGATTTAACGATACATGATTTCGGCAAGAAAGCGTAGCTTTAAATGGCTTACGTGAAAATGAAAGAATAAAGAAAATTCAAACGAAAAGCATGAAGACTACCGCAAATGCTTTGTGGGTCGCGGCTAATATATATATTATTATTATTATAGCTTTTTCCATATAATTACATTGTTTAGTGATATTGGGATTGAAAATAATTCAACCAATAAATTTGAACATTTTTCTAAAGAGAAAAGTAAGATAAAGTCACGAAATCACAAAATCTTAACTAATTGTTGATAAAAAGGAAAACCTTGTGTAATTATCGGCAAATGTTAGCCTGTCAGTGGAGAATGCTATATATGTGTTTCTTTAATTCTGTTATTAATTTATTTTTATGTTTTTATAGGATTACATACCTTAATTTATTTACTTTGTTTCTTTTTTCTAGTACAATATAATCGTAACTTTATTATTTCAGACTACTCCTATTTGAATAATGTAAGGACGTAATTGATAACAACCCACACATCTCTAACAAAGAAGTAAAATTACATTCTAATATAGCTTAGATAAGTTAGAGAAATAATGGTTATATATGAATAAATCGATTAATAGCTGAAAACACGTGAATAATTTATTTTTTGATTTTTCACTCTAGAAATGCCAGAAACATTCAACAAGTTTTGTTTATTCAAATCAAAAAAGTCAAATCCTCTCTTTTCATTACAAGAAAATTGTTTAATTTGTGATATAATAAAAAGAAATGTTCAAAACTTCAACAGTTTTGATTTCCAATTACTAAGAATAATACTAGTTTCATCAATGAAATCATAAGATTTCTGTTATTAAATTATTTATTACTCCGTGTTAGAATTCAAAGGACAAAGCAAAGTGGTGGATAGCTGTACAGAATACTGAAAACGTGGAAATATCTTATAAGAAAGTTGATGACCTTCACCCTTTAAGATTATGGAGGATCACTGTCGATGTTGAAGCGCCACCTGTCGAGGTACTCAACAGAATTTTAAGAGAAAGGTAAGTATTTCAGAAATAGAAATAAAACAGTTGTGTGAATAAGCAATTTCGTACTTCCTCAGTATTAGAAGTGTTTGTTACTTTTCATAATAAAATTTACATTAGCTCAGCACTTTGAAAAGTTAAGTAGAGCAAAAATAAAATACTTAATAGGTTTCATTTAAAATTATAATCAGAGAACAAAGTCAAAAAGAAAATATTACATACATATTTTGACTTTTTGATTTCCTGTTGAATGGCTTTAGTTACGATGTAACACCTAAAAATACAATAAGTATAAAATAACTGAGATAATTGGATGTGATTTTAAGACGCTAATGAATCTGAGAGAAGGAAAAATATTGGCATTCTATAACATCAATCATAAATATTTTTCAAGAGAACAGAATGTCTCACGTTGTAAAGTGTATACCTCAGTCGTGTGTGATTGTTTTTATTCACCATAAAATATATATAGATTACATTCTTTAACACCTTAGTTTGTTTACCTCAAACGTTTGTGATTACGTTTTTATTCACTATAAAATATATAGATTACATTCTTTAACACCTTAGTTTGTTTACTTCAAACGTTTGTGATTACGTTTTTATTCACTATAAAATATATAGATTACATTCTTTAACACCTTCAGTTTGTTTACCTCAAACGTTTGTGATTACGTTTTTATTCACTATAAAATATATAGATTACATTCTTTAACACCTCAGTTTAATATTGCAGTGATATTAAAACAAATAATGTGAATTAAAAACATTAAACTAATATTTTAAACGATAAGCTGGTGTAAATAGGACTATATAAATATCAATTTGTTTCACATATGAAATAATCATCAATAGAAACAAAACAATACAGTATTTATCTTGCAGAAGGCTGTAGAAATCAGCTATTCAGATATTATGTATATGACCTTGAAACTCGTTTCTTGAAGGTACTCATGGTAGTGAAACATTAAACATATAATGTTAATCTCTCCATCAAGACAAGTTTTAATACTGTTTTGTTGTTGTTGTTGTAGTGGATGTTATTGCGATTTTCTTCAAAAGTGCAAGCAAATATTCGAAAGCGTTTCTAAAAAAGTTTTTACATTTTTTTGACATTATTTGAAACGCGTTTTGATGCTATAGACAAAGATTTATTTACTCGGTGATATAAGTGAACAATTTATTGTTTTGCAAATTGAATTTGTATACAAAAAAGGAGTTACAACAACTGAAACAATAGTTTTTTGGGAATGTTGTTCTTTGTAATACAAGTTTGGTAATGCCAATCATAAACTTAGAGCACCAAAAGTGTAATTTGGTCGTTCAGTTATTATTATACATTATCAAATATATCGGAAATGTTTCAGTAGTGCCTTTTAAGTATTTTTCAAAGTTTTAGTCCAATAATTTTATTTTTTAGTGATGGGATGTCCCACTCTTAAATAATCCGCCAATAAGAAAATGATTAAGCTACAAAACTATACGATCCTTATATTGGTATAGAAGCTTTTAAGATTCGGCTCTGATGTTTTTGTTTTTTGTTGTTGTTGTGGCTGTTGTGAGCAAAATTTTAAAATGAAAAATTATTCCTGATCAGAAACATTAAAACATATAAGCTTCAATACTATATTTCTTATTTCAGAAACGTATGGGACAACAGGTTGCTGAAGTCTCGAGTTGTCTGTAGATTAGACAAGCAATCTGAAGTGTTTCATTACGTGCGTTCGTCCCTTTGGCCTCTTCCTAAAAGGGACTATTGTGTTTTCAGGTAAGTGTTAAGTTGGACATTTCCAGTTCAATCTTCGCAATATCATTATTAAAAGTGTTTGTTTCCAGAATTCTTTAACAGCTAAGAAAATTACCAGCTGTTCTTTTGGTGATTTATGAATAATTCTATGAAGTCCGTAAGTGTCGTCACGCTTCTTTAGAACTAGTAGCCACGTTTATTTAACATTATAATTATTAGGTATTTCCACAATTAGTGGCTACGCCCATATTCTCTATAAACACTCAAATATTCTCATACTGTACACTTTCATTACGTAATGACCCATATTCCAGCTTATTAGAAGCCAAACTAATCAAATTTATGCATAAAATCTTTATGTTAAGTACAAACTTTCATCTCGGTCTCCTACAACCCCTAACAAACGTTGAATATTCAAGGAAATATGTTTGCTGAACTTAATTACATTAATCAATATAATTGGTACTAGTTTTACGATCATAGAATATTATTCACATATTTCATCATTCTTAGGATTAATTGTATTTATATCTGTTAAAGAAATCATTTAACTTTGTTTTAACAATAAGTTAGGGTAGAGTCTTATAAATTATTAAAATCATCTGATCAAAAGAAGAGCTAACGATATAGATCAGGAATAAACTAATTAGAAAATAAAATATATTTTTGTTAAGAATATATGGTATAAAAAAAATCGAAATACGTATTGCTATATATCAATCTAACGGAAAACAAAAACGTATAATCATGAACCGCGATAGTGGTTCATAATAAGGATCGCAAGGAATAGCACAAACCCAAATAGAACGTTCGGGCAAAAAGCACCTTATACTCTAAAGATTCAGTTCAAACAAAACCTTAAAACCTTTATTACAGACTGCTAAGGCTGTACACATGTAAACATTCTCAAAAAAGTACGTGTGTTAGATTTACAAGGAAAAGAAAATCCGCTCAAAATGACATTTTATAGTTATTATTATTATTATTTTCTTGCGAGCCTACAACGAAAACCATTTGGCATATTGCACCCAAACGTTTTGTAGAATAACAAACAAGGTACTGCGAATGTCGTAGGGATATTGAAAATTCTACATGTTTTTCTGTATTTCATACAAGCTAAAAAACATGATAATTCTAGTGTAAACAATGTTATTATTACCTCTTGAAGTTAGCTTTCTTACAAATCTATCGTGTCCCTTTAAAAAGCTTAAGTACAGGGTGAAACAGGAATTACCAGCCAATAGTAGATGAACATTAGATGACTAACATGTAGATACTCAATGCTTTGCACACTATATAATTGGTATCTTTAGGAAGCCAACCCCTATATTATGTATGAAGTGAACGAGTGAAAAAAAATCAATACACATAATATTAAATCTAATTACACAGATTCGTAGAATAATTACTTTAAAGAAATACGAAGGTTTATTTAAAGCGATGTTTTAGACGTATATGTTTATTTGAAAAAGCTGCTTTTCTACTGAGTAAATTTTATATGTGCTTAGTGGTGGGTTGTGTTTTAGCCTAGGCATACATTTGCTAATTTCTATGCATTATATATAAATAATTTAGTTACACAGAAATTATAAATGTTCACTTTATCCTCAAACAAATCTCCATGACAATCTCCAGTTGAGCTTAACATTTTACATCTCGAACTAATGTTACCAAAGAGTCAAGAGCTACAGTAAATCATCATGAACTGTATCAGCTATCTGCTAGCTATGTTTATTATCATTACAATGTATAAAGTTAGCCACCATATCAAGTAATCCTTTGCCCATAGTTGAGTATAAAAAAGCCAACAAACAAGATAAATAAAATATTGTGAATTTTAAATCCTGCAAATAAGGATTGTAAAAAGAAGTAAACAAACAAGGTTGGAGGTATTGTAGACGTTATTTCAAATTTCAAATTCAAAATTTTTTATTTATCTTGTGATTATTATTTGAATTACACTCACTGTAACGATATATATATATATATTCGGCCACATTTACAACGATATATTTTGAAGTTCAGTCAATTTAGATTTAGGTTAGCCCTAAATTCACACACAAAGTCAACAACGTAACATAATTTTCTCAAGTGATCTATAATTTAAAATATATTTTCAAAAATAATTTTAAACATTATAATAAATATGATAATTAAAGAAATGTAATTTATTATTTACAACACATAAAAATCAGTAAGTGATTTGTGCTTCATTTACACGTAGTGATTAATTAACACAGTATATCCTGAAATACGAAAATAAGAGCATGAAATAAAAATTCAGAATGAAATTACACAACATTTTTGTAAGATCCTACAACAATCAGGTACAGTAAATATATTTATATTTTATGGTGTTTTGCTAACATCAGTGCTAACCGTTTTCATTTGATAGTTTGCTTTTCTATTTTTTTCGCTCAATTTTTCTCCTGAAACTAAGTTTTCTGGATGAAACCTAAGATATTTTATAATAATTAAGAGCAGCTTAAAAAACTTTCTTTAGATGATGCTATTTCAAGTATCGTAGCATAATACCTTAAAGGGGATGAAGTTTCCGCTTCGTTGTAGTAGATGTCTATTTCATATAAAAGTACTGATACTGAAAAAAGAAAGTATTTTATAAATTACATGTATATATATACACTTTTTATAACTCGCCAGCAAAAATAACTTACTGCGATGTTTTTACAAATTACTTTACAATCTAACTAATGTTCAACCAACTTTCCTTAACTCACCTTTAAGTATATGTATCGCTAGGTTTTCTATTGTGACCTATGGAATATTATAAATTTCAGAATTAGGATGCCTTTTAATAGGTATTTTTATTAAAACAAACAAAACCAATGGGTTTAATGTTTTATTGTAGTAATCGTACAACTGGTTAACAGATGGCGCTGCTGACATGTTATTTCCAATTCGGTATTGTGAATGTTCTTTAAATTGTTCATATATGCAATTGTACAATATCTAATGCGTAACTTAAACCAAATTGACAACAATGGAACAAAGTATTTTTTCCAATGAATATAAAAGCTCCAAATATATATATATATTATTGTTTAAAGATAAAAATGAGCAAATATGAGTTCAAACAGTTTTTCAAAAAATTTTAAACAAGGTTTCTTTCATACAAATTCCTATAAAAAGTTATGATTCTTTAAATAAGGTCTTGGAAAACTGACCTTCGTAAAGGGACCTGTTTACTTGTGGAGCAATCAGTCGATCACCATGATGCTACTCCCGTATTAGAGGGAGTTCGTGTTACTGTCCTGACTTCCAATTACCACATCGAACCATGTGGAGCAGGCAAGTCTCGTGTTACCCATTATTCTCGAGTTGACTCCAGGCAAGTTTATCCTACTATTTTATTATGCTTTTATACTGATTAGAAGAAATTTTGACCATAATTTAGTAAATGATATTGTTGGGTAAAAATAATTGTCTTGAAATATAAAGCCATAGATAAATTTGTATTTTTACGTATTATTTCATTCCAATTTTTCAGACTTTTAACCGATATTTTATAGTTACATAATTGTTTTTTGACCCAGAAATATTTATAGCAAATGTAAGTCTTTACTATAAAAGAAAAGTTTTGGAAGTACTGGTTATTAATGAAATATATCATATAATAATTATTAAAAATAGGACTGATTTCTCCCGTATGTTGTTTTTGCTTTTTTTTCTTTTGAATAAAAGTACTCACTAATTGTTTATAGGTTTATTATAATTTTTTTTTAATACTAATGTAATAAACCGATATTCTTATCTGTGTATCACAAAAATTATAGGGTTAATAAGTTTTACCGAGGCCTCTGATTCTTTCCTGGCATTGATTGTTCTTATAAATATCGATAAGTCGAAAAATTGGTTATAACATCAGAACTTTTGTAGTTAAGGTCAATCTTTTCCATTTAAGAGTCTTAAACCTAGCTGAAAATAATTAAACTGTTTTGTGTATCATTAATTCTGTTTACAATCTATATGATTTAATTTGTTTATTTATCTACCAGGGGAAGGTCTCCAGAGTGGTACAATAAAGTCTTTGGTCACATTTGCGCGGTGGATCTCGTGCATCTTCGAGATTCTTTCAACCATGGTAGCGAAGGGCCGGAAACTAAAGTCTAAGGTATTTATCTGAAATGGCGTCGTTTAAAAGCCTTGGATGCATTCATTGAATAGATTCTTGCCCCTTATGTGCTCAGGTTCATCACAAAATTGTACAGCGGTGACTTGTACTTCCTCGTATTTCAAGACCGTTAACGCCATGCAGTACGTAATAGCTAGTCATCACTTCAGCTCAAGGCGTGAGAGGGTTCCAAAGATACTTCCACACAGCAAAAGTGGGGTTGTAATTTTTAGAACATACTCGTATTTCAGAAGTCTTTAACAAGGGGAAACTGAAAATATGTGAGAGAAAAAAAGTTGCCTAAACTGTTCTAAACTGAGAACATTACGCATGACGTCAGTGAGAAGGACAGCGCAGTGTTATTGAGAGAAAACCAGCAAAAGAAGTGTTCACAGTCCCTCACATGTTCAATAAAGACGAAAATAAGACAAAATCGATTGATTAGTCAAACTGCTAGCATACTAGTGTATTGATCAATTTATATCAAGCATTTTTATATTACATAGGCCTCACCTTCGTTATCTGTTAAGTTCAACTATTTTTATTCTTCATATGTTAGGGAAGAATGCACAACTTTCAACTTCTTTCTCATTTGTCAAACTAGACCACGAAATATCTTTAATATTTTGTTCTACATAGTCTTTGTTTATGTAACTAATTTTTAGAGTGATTATAATGTTTTTAACGTTTACTTCCAATGCAGTTAATTATTACACAACAAATAACACTAAAATTTCATATGTTCAAGAGTTGTAAGTCATTTTGATAATGTGAACGCAGTGAATTAGTTTTAAGATGTCAGATATTGACATATATTATTTCGATACTTTCCAAGGTATCTTTCTAATAATTAGCATGATGTAAATCTACAAAATATATATTAATAATGTTACTACCGTGTCAAATTTTAAGAACTTCATAATGAGATCTGAGCGGTTTATAAATATCTGAAAGTTTTCGTTTTTTTAGTTTTGAAAAAGTTAATATTTCAAACAGCAGAAATAATTTAAAGCTTCCATATTGGATTGTTTAATTTGTTTCTTCTAAAGTGTGTACAATTTTAAAAGTAATATGTGTTTACTAACAGGTTTAATTTCTTAGACAATATAAAGACAAGTACAGTTAAAATATATTGTAAAGTAATCATTCCTTTCAAAATTAGCAAATACAATGAATGTTGATTTCTAAAAAATACCAAAAAAATCTTTCAGGTACTGCCTCACAACTATAGTTTTATTTTGCGTTTGGTTTAATATTCAAAGTATTAAAAAAACAAAAGACTTTAAATTACAGAAAAGAACTATTTTTTATCTATGAAAAACCTCCAGCTTACATATGTATTGAACCTTATTTGACTGTACTCATAAGTCATTAAATGCTTATTTTGTAGCCTTTATTGTATATAAATATTTGGAACACAGCAAACACAAAATGGCAAACTCTTTGTCGTTTAAAATTAATGTGGGTTTTGATCAGATAAAAACTGAAAATAAGAAATAAAATTACCTTTAGAAAAGTTAGGGGTTTATTATTATTAATCATCGGATTACCTTGTTGGTGTTTACAGTATTTTTTCTATGTATGAAATAAAATATTAGTAGATTATCAATATTCACATAAAATGCTATGTTAACCGATACATATAATAGGATCATAGGAGAACTAAGTCAACCATTTAAGCTATACAGAGTATGTATTACTTGAGGCAGTTTAAATGGAGGAATGCATGTAACGTCTCCTAAAAAATGTTTATTTTCATATAAACATTATTTTCCTGTAAACTTTGCGTTGATAGTTTATTATTGTACCTTTTTAAGCAATGTATGCTCAAAATCTTGAACGATTTTAAACGATTTATCTTTTAACACAACTCAGCTTTTTTATGGCTAAACTTCAAACTCTGACACATACTGAAAATATGTTCTATACACACACAGGTCTAATCTAGTAATTGCTGACCTAGATTTGAACTTTTTATGTATTTCTTTGTTAATCTTAAATGAATCCTAAATCTTTTGTATAAATAAAAGAAACGCCAATTTCTCTAATTATGGATCCGTTTCTTAATATCATGATATTTTGAAAAATTACTTAGCCAATTTTACTACTAATTTGTTTAAGTTTGTGAGTAAAATCCGAGATTAGTTATGTTCCTTCTCACAAAATTATGCATTTGTATTTTTAAAATGTGACAATAATCTCTAACGTTAGAAAATATGCAATTTAAAGGTCTTTGCTTTGCTAGACTTGACCTACTTCTTGCGTTTATATGATCAACAAAATTAATTGTATATGAAACTTTACTTAGCTATTGCAAATGCTAATTTTGCATTTGAGAATACGAGTTATTTTTGTAGTATTTATAACATCAGGTTACTTGAGGCGTTTCTAAATTATTTTTTAAATATTTTATTCGTATGCAGAGAGATAAAAGTACTTTGAATTCTGTTTTGAAATATTAAAAACATAAAAAATCTTAAAAATAAATTAGTGTTTTAAGTGAAAACACATAAAAATGAAAGTTATGTTAAATTATCTATTGAACAGTTCACCTATATTTCTACAGACAGGTTACGAAAAAATTAAAATACAATAAGAGGATGGAATTGGTATGAATAGAGTGACATACAATGGATTTCCTGTTATTTTCACATTTCTTTTAATTTTCTATACGATCTACAAAACAACTACCTAGTTCGTTCCACTTCCGAGAAAGATGACTTATTTCTCTAGTGCCAATCCTACAAACTCGGTATTTGTTTGTGATCGTGTAAGACGAAGACTGATCCAAAATAGTTTTATGTAGAGACAGTAACAGTTAGTCAGAATTGAAATTATGTATTTGATGCAAATATAGCACTTAAAAATAAAACGTTATGTTCGATCTTACGCATAACTTGTCATAGAAAATTTAGGCTTAAAAATACGTATAACATCAACATCATCCATCCTTTGAGGATATTATATCAACGTAATTAATAATTACAAGATCCATTGTATGCCAGCTCAAACGTTTGCACTTTATTGAGTTACAGTTATGATGCTAAATCCGTGGAATATCAAGATTAATGCACACACACACACACACACACACACACACAC